TGAGAGAAACTTGTCATAATGCATACAAAGAAAGACCCGACAGGAACTAAGAGGGCAATCACAACCCTTTCTCTCACGATATGCCGACACCGGATCCCCGCCGTGGTTGGAGTCTCTGTGGGTTTGTGTGGGCAGAAGAATGGAATATACCCTGATGAAACCTGGATCGCCGGCCAGCGCAGGCCGCAGGCATGTCTGGGATTATTCTTTTGTGTGGTCCGTGGCTGTAATTACCTGAAGATCCCTTCTCAAACAAACAACTCGCGGACTCACTTCACTGGGATTGGCCTGACTGCACGAAAATTCAACTTCAATATCGCAATGAACATTCAAACAATAACCTCAAACTCCAAAGCCGAGTGCGAACCTCCATCCTAGTTACCGGATGAATCTTCGTTGAATCGCTCGTTGCCGGCAAGTTATCAAAGAAGAAAAAGTTTTGAATATTTCGGGTTTGGACAGCCACTAGTGCATATTGGCGGCCGCAGAACCAAGGCATCAAGGATCAAGCCCGCAGGTCTCGTCAGGCGGACTGTGGAAGAGACCGGCACCGAAGTACGACGGCCCAACATGTCGTTCAAACTGGCTTCAAAGAGATCTTCATACAGTCGACGACACCATCCCGGGAAACCCCTCAGCAATTCAAGAGTGCCAATTCATTTAGGCTGGTGGGCTTTGGTCCTCGACAGTCAAGTTCAGCAATTGGCCCAGGCTTATTTCATCCGTGAGTGCACATCAAACGTTGACAGCAACCCCCTTGGCCTTTTTTGCCTGCTCTTGGTATCCGCCGTGGCATTTCTTCCTATTCAATGCGACCCGGTCCTGGAAATACCAAGCTATGCCAGGGCAACGTTGGACTGCTTGTGGGGGTTTCGATTTTCGATGCCCACTTCCCTCTGCCGTGTTGAATATTGTACGGATACTCATTGACGAGGATGGACGGAAGGAACTCCTGGAGATAGGTACTCTTTTCCTCAACATGACCTCGTCTGTGGATAAAACATGAACCTCTCGCAAGGATAGGCACTCATGTCTCCAGCGCTACGGCCACTGGCTGGCAGGGTAGTGTTCATGGTTCAAGGATTACAGATTTCTAACTACCTCAGAAGAAGCGTCATGACAAGCATATTTGGCTTCAACGCACGACATGTAAGTACAAGTATGGGCGTGGCCGGCAGGCAGTGGGACAGGACGGTGCCTTTTTCAGACTGGCTGGGGCATGGAGCCGGGGCACTCCCTGGTTAATTCCTATTGAAGCGCGTACAGCAACAGATTTCGAATTACGGGCACGGCGATATTGAACTATACGATGCCGCGGTGTTCCGAGACGGGCGGTGGGTTGGGCAACCGGCGAAAAAGAGCAGTTTGGAGTTGGCACGATGAACGAGAACGGATTTGTGGGCTTGCGGCAGTTGAACATTGCCCAAGTCACTCACTTGTGAGCATTGTTGGTCAGAAGCGAGTTGTGAGTGTGACAAGCCGTCGGAACGTCGCAAGCCAGGGAGGGTGCAAGGGCTTGCCTAAACCAAGGGATCGCCTATTATAACGACAAAGCACGCCAACCAGAGCTGGTTATTGATGGCCAAGCAACGGTCGGATGTTGGCTTCCAACGAAGACGCTGGTAACGATTAGTGTGCTTGAGCCGTTGTGCTTGGTCTCGAGTAGTGGTGACGTCGACCACAACCGTTGCAAAGCTACAGATTAGGGGGAGCTCTCGTGGGAAGCACACAACCAAACAAGCCATGTCCAAATGGAGCGACACACGGGTAGTCCATTGGTCAGTCTGTTTTGCTGGCTCCCTCAAGCTGGGAACCTGACGTGCCTGGGCAGAGGATGAGGGAAATTTCCGATGCCGGTTGTGGACGAGGTCTTATCCAATGGCAAGGGACAATGGCTGCCAACCGGGCAACACCGATCCCAAGCCAATGGAAACCGCTGCATCATCCCACGCCACGACCATCAAGCAAGCAAGCTGCCCTTGTGCGGCGTGCCAGCCCTGAGCCATGTCGACGGGCAGCAGGCAGTGAGCAACGGCCCCCAGGGGACACACCAGGCCCGACTTGGCTTTCTCTGCTCACCTGTGCCGCGCAGTTCCATTCCTTCGGGTCTCTGGAAGGGGGCTGACAGCCGGACGGAGACAGAATACCTCACACAGGACCTTACCGAACGTTTACCGTAGTTGCCTCCTTTTGTCAGCCGCGACCCAGTTCTTTGCCTTCAATTCGAATCTCGCATCCGACTCCGGTGCCGGGCCTGTTCGTCTCGAGCCACTGGCTGTCAAGACTCAGAAGTCAGAAAACACCCAGCTTGCACCATCGACAAGCCTTGCCGGGCCCTGCCCCGGCCTCATCGGTCAAGGGCTTGCTATCCGTATATGGCTTGCTTCAGGTCTTCACCTGAAGAATCGTCTTCTCACCCCGGCGAGGCAGGCAATGCCTGTCATGATCCGCCCTCATTTCCAACCGGATCCATTGACCGCCGCTCTCGCCTGACCTGACAGCGGGCTTTGCCGTCATTGCAGCAAACAGCGCAGCATGCCCTGCCCGGTGTGTTTCTTCTTGCCGTGGAAATTGTGGCCTGAGCCCGCCGGGCGACTGACACACAAGGCCTGCCACCGACCACTAAATTCCAGGTTCACCGTGTTACCTTGGATGGGTGTCAAGTTGGAAAATACAACGGTGATAACTGCAGCTCGGTTGCGAGATGCGAACTGCGACTCGCAAGTCCGCACCATACCGCGCCTCTTCCGTCGTCGTCCTTCACACGCCGCGTGCCTGAACTCATGCCAGCCCGGGGGGCCAGCCCCGGGGACATTGGTGGTTCTTCTCCGCAGAGTCCTTCGAAGTCCACAGTCGCTACTGACTCGTTGTCTACGCGACCCTCCGCTAGCGGTGTCGCAGTGTCTCAACGAGAGTGAGAGATGGTTTCCACAGTATCACTCCTAGGGAACGGCGCTGCAGGCCGAGATGCACTAGTGGAAGCCCAAACACGTCTGCTTGGGAAGCAGGAATCCACCCCATGGTCTCCGCCTCTGCGACACTACGCAGGTTGATGATCTCTTTGAGAGACAGCCCAGGGCCGGCATCGTGTGCCAAAAAAACGAGGCGGTTCAGCGGCACAATTACGCTCTTCTGTCTCAGACGCCCTGCCCAAGGGTGGCTGCTTCCACTACACCACGGGCGCTACAGGCCGGGGAGTCTAGTCTAACGCGGCCGATGTATCATCGATGGAACCCGAAAGATACGAAGACCCCTCACTCCCACGCCAGTCCCTACTGTACAGTGTACTCCCTGACTTTCCTCCCCGTACTCGAACTAATACGCTGTCAATGGCAACTCTTAAGTATCGGGCCGGCAAGTGTGCAAATCATCAATGCCAAGAGACGTCTGGCACTGAGTCCCGACTCGGCAGGCAGCGCATTCAATTGATTTCTTTAGTTACCTCGCTCCAGTAGGCTACGGGTACTAGCACAGCCTATCCTCACTGTCGTTGGGTGGCTCGAACGGGGCTCCGGTGGCTAATCATCCACATGTGCTTGATGCTCCTAACGCCATCAACACAAGAGCCGTCATGAGATGCGCAGCACAATCTCCGGAGGCACCCCAGATAGCAGAGATATAGCTCCACGGCCGAGTCTAACACAAATCTGAACAGTCGCGGGGAAACTTAGCGGGCTCAAGACGTCCGCAACGGTACGTACGGCCATCGCAGAAAGCGCGAAGTAACGCTGAGAGACTGAAGTCGATGTGACCCACGACAGAGACACAGGCGATGATGGGACGGGATGGTGTTCGAGGAGGTTGGGGGAGGACGATCCCTAACCCAGGGGCGCTCTCACTGCTTCTCTCACTAGCCAGTGGTCTGAAAGGGTCCTCCGACCCCCGCACACTAGCTCCTAGTCAGGAACGAGCGGACTAGCCCGGGTCCGAAGCTGTGAGGCGCGCAAGCCAGGGCCAGCGTAAGGAGGGGCAGCCAGCTTTTGGCGGCTTTGAGCCTTGGTTGCCCTTACAGTGTACTGCGACACTGTTATCAATGGAAAATATATCACGACCGCCTCGCGGCTACAATACAACTCTAGGCCAAACTAGTTCATACGCGGTCATACGCGGATCGATGGGGGTCACATCTCATCACATCGTTCGGCAGCTGACCGATCATGGCCCTCATCTTTGCCAGCCTATGCCAAATTTTACAGTTGCATTGGGCTATCGACTGCTTGGCAAGTCGATCAGGCGCACGCCTGCTGGGCAAACTCGCGTCGATTCTCGCGGATAAAGTCGAGACTAAGGTTCGGGACAGCACGTCCAGACTGGACACTCTGGTATTGCAAGGCCCATAATAAATAAGTATGGCGTCAACCACGTATGAGACGAGTTGCGCGGGGGGTGAAAGGGATCCTGGACGAGAGCCTCTGGCGCATTGATCAAGTATGAGGATCCGGGATCAGTCTTGCCGGACGGCAGGGAGATCGTCTTGAGCCTCAACTTGGTTTCGACGATGAAGCCCCCAAGGTTGCTGACGATGCTGGGGCCAGGCCACGACGCGGTTAACCAGAACAGATGGAGATGCCCACGGTTTCAGCTCCCAGAACATGAGCCGCGCCCCAAGGCTGCCAAGAATTGGACGCCGCAAAAGCCTGAGCCGAGATGAATCAATTATCCAGGAGACACAATTACCGTACGGATACACCACTGCTCGACTACACTGCACTGCTACTGCTACAAATCTGTGTGCAAAATCGAACTGGCCACAGTGGCCCCAGCTGTCAAGCGGAAATCAAACGCGGATCGCCCAGTGGTCAGGGAGTTGACGTATGTGTATCCGTAAAGATTGAAACATCTTCAACGGCGGGCAAGCACCCACTCTTGCCGGATGTGTTCCGCGGGGACTTTCTCGCCTCTGTACGGTGTACCGACATGGATAACGTCATTCTCGCAAGCTTCAGTCGCATGAGAATGTGCTGTAGCCTGTAGGTGGGAGAGATACTACTTCGTACCCAATGGCTGCCAAAGGGCCGTCACAACTGGACAATGCCGACCCACCGCTTGATTTTGACTACCCACGAGGCGCGCTAGCGAAATCCAAACAAGAAGGCGCTTGTATTGACATGATCAACGTCAACGTCGTCTTGCAGAGGCGGGGCCAAGGTGGTATGAAGGACGATAAGATTACGTGCCGTGAAATACGGCTATATCACGTCGCGATTATTAATTCACGTCCGATAACTACAACCTGCATCTTTTTAACTGCAGGGGGAGGGGTGTTAGGATATATCGGGTGCCGAGTCGTCATGAGACACTATTGAGCCCCCCACTCTGACGGAGAAGAATTGCTAACAAAGTTGGACTCTTTGGAGGCTTGGAGTCCATGTCGACGCTGAACAGTACGGATACACCGTCAAGCATCAAGCCTATCGGAGAAAGGACGACGGCAAAAGCGACCTACTGGCTTCCTTACCTGGAGAATCCTCGCTGGCCATAGTGTGCTTCACGCACAAGTACAACGGTTCCCAGTCATGTCCTGCAGGCGTTCGCAGCAGGACAAAGCGGGGCAGGTCAGAATATCAACACGGGCCAAGAGGCATGACTGCTCGGTCTTGTCATTTTGAATGACAACTGCCGACTTGTCGATAATGCTGCGAAGCCTGGGGTTATCCAGGGCGCTTCCTAATGAAGATGAGTTGAACCTATCGCTTGCAGATGCCCTTGTACGAGACTGAGGGACTGCCATCACAGAGGGGTTTCTCCTCCTTTGACCATACGAGCGAACTCCGGCTCTCGTTGGAACCAGCATCGGGCACTCCACCCTTGGCCTTTGGATATCAACACGTTGGATTAAGTCTGGTAGCGGCATGCCAGGGGCTCGCAGGAACTCTCTCTATCTTCGACATAAAACCGACAGCTTGCGGACGAGACTGACTGATCAAAAAGACTCATGCCGCGCCCGAAATAAGGAGTCAAAGCGCTCGACTGGGCGGGTCGGTCAAGAGAGCCCATCTCCTGCCCCCTCCAACTTATTACTACGAAAGGCATTGTTACCGCGAAAGGGGCTCGCCTTCCCCGAGGCCTCTCAATCTCGCATGAGTTACGGCGGATGATGATTTTCTGCAAGTCGGATCGCAAGGGGAAAATATGACAAACTTTCTGGTGCGATGGGGTTCCAACAGCATGGAACAGCGGTCCTATCGACCATGCAACGGCCGTCACTTGATCGGAATGCACGTCGAACAATCTGGCAGGAAAGGTGCATCGGTCGGCCGAGGAGAACCTTTCGGGAGGGGTCGTCGACTGGGCCAGCGTGCACGCGAACCAAAACCGTACAATCACCATGCTGCATGGCTTTGCGGTGCCCGGCATGGCGAATCTATGGCGCGGCGCCGGAGATCTTTCCTAACAACTCACGACTTGTCATAATGGTCTGTCGGTCAGAATAATGACGCTTTCCGCTGCGTGTCTCGCTTGAGCCCCCCGCCGCCTGTGTGTGAGCCACGGCAGACGTCGTCCGATGTGTCAGTTGAGCCAACATGATATTCAAATTCCACTGCATCCTCCCCAGGCCTACGGATTTTCCCGAGGCGGAGTGACCATGATGGATTGATGTTGTTTCCTGCCTGCGGAAACTTGCACTGACTGCTGTGGTGTTTGCAGGCAAACCTGGTGGTCGGTCTCCCGAGTCCCGGACGGACGTCGTGGGACGATGGCGAGTTCTCTTTGGGCCGGACATCGACCAGTCACTTTGTTGATGTCATGTCTAGGCACAAACGATGCCTGTCGCGCTGTGTCCTCCTTGCCTCCGAGAGAGGGAGGGAAAAGTCTTTCGTCCTTACAGACGAACACTGGGTCCGGATGCCGCACGCTGGTGGCCGCGGAGGGCTGGGCTCCAGGAGAGTTTGTGTGTGCAGGCTCCGGAACAGCATCGAATGAGCCGAACGTCCAACGTTGAAATCGTCGAAACAGGGTCGCGAGCAGGTACACAGTAATGGCTGCTCTTTGACTACTGCAGCTTCCTCCGCATTCCGCTAGCCAGTTTGCGAGGGTTTTCTCTCTCTCTCTCTCTCTCAGACTTGTCCCGGTAGTGTCGTGATCGACGCCTGCATGCCGTCGACTAGTCCTTTTTTTGCCCATCTTTTGCCCAAGAACGGGTACGATAAACACTTTTTCGCCGACGCTGGATGGGTAAACTCCCTCCGGAAGCCGCGAGAGCGATGCCATTGGTCGAATTATCTTACACAACCTCCTTGCAACACCAGATATGAGAGCGAAAGCAGCGATTGAAGAGGCATCTACAGAGAAACTCATTTGCCGCTCGACTCGCAACAAGACTCGGACAAGTCTCCTCACTCATTCATCGTTATTTTGCACACTCAGGTTTCTTGGTAGTTACATGCAGGTTGTGTCGCGAGATGCATGCAAAGAGGTCTGTCCCTTCGCAGATCGAGCATGCGCGCACGGTATCACGTCCGGTTGGACCTTTTTTTTTGACCCTCCTTTCGCCTCCTCCCAAATAATTGCTTATTCTTCTTCTCGGCTACTTCTCTAGACCGGCAGATGAGCGTCTGCAATACTTTGGAGGAGGAGCAAAGTCACTGAAACAGAAGGATGACAGATTCCAGCAGTCCGTCGACATCAAGCCCCCGATCCAAGATTCTCTGCACATGCCAATGGCTTGCATAGTCCGCCAGTCCACTAGTCTTGCTCATATTCGGCGATGCTATCGAAGATTCCCCCGCCCTCTGTCCAATAGGTCCTTACGGTATCTCATGCCATCGAACGGAAGTAATCGATATTCACCGAGCCGGGTGTCGCACGAACTCTTCTTTCATGATTTCGCTGCTATCTTGGCGTAAACGAAGCAGGACTCCACCAGACGAAAGTGTGTCTGTGAGACAGATCGATTACGGGTAGAAGCAAGATCTATCTCCATGTATCCGAGAGCGAACGGGAAGCAACGTGGCCGCCGGCCGGGTGCGGGTTGACAACGTCAGGACAACGGGTTCAAAGGGGAACCGTTCATCACAAAAGAGTCTTGTCTTGTTTATGCGTTTATTGTCCAGATGGAAACAAAACAAACAGAGCAGAGCACAACATACAGAATAGGTGAGGTTTACGAGGGACGGACGTCCAGATCTCAGAGGTCAGTGGGCAACAAAACACGATTCCTGGGGAAAACTTTCGGGTCTTAGTCTGAACCCTTTCCCCCCCCCCCCCCCCCCCCCGTTCGCACCTTTCACGGTGTTGGTGTTGGCGATGCCGTGCCCTAGGTCCCGGGACCGCTCGCTCGGGGGAAGACCGTTGGCTGCGAACGAACGCCGTCTGTTCGCGCCACGCTAGATGGTGGTGTTCACCGTGGTGCCGGTGTTGAACAGTTCACCCGTGAGCGTGTATGTGTGTCTGTGTGTGTGTCTGTGGTTGCCTTGACGGCGATGACAAAAACGAACGTATGTTGGGGGCAAGGCCAGCCAGAATGGAAGCGGCTGGGGATTCGATGACTACTACGTTACGACGAAGGACGATAATGGCCGTGGGTTTGTCTTGATGGGCGTGGCGTCACGGACAATTCATTCACATTTTACTTTTTCATTTTACGCACAGAACAGAAGCAAAGCTCCCGGTGACTACGAGCAAACGCATCTTGCTGTTCTTTTGCTTCCCGCCGCCTCAGATCTGGGGAAGTCCATGTGGCAGTGTCTGTTCCAAAAATTCCAGTCCCCCCCCCCCCCCCCCCCCTTTTTTTTTTGTCCCGTCCCGCGCGTGAACATGGCGTTTCGTTCGAGCGCTCGAGCGAACCGGGTTTGTGCTCGTTAATGGTGTTCGCGTGAATGAAGGCGCGAGAGAAAAAGAAGAAACGAACGAAGGAACGAGCCGCAAGGGCTCAGACCGAGAGGGTCTCGCTCTCAGACTCGAAAACCAGGAACAGAACGACGAACAAGAGATGGATCTTCCGTTTTGTTGGCAAGATTAGATTTGGCTTGCCGCTAAGCTGGGGGTGGGAGGAGGGAACTGCCTTACTACTGCACGTACTACTTTGTACGTGCGGCGCCGAACGCGATGTGCGTGGCTCTGACGCCAAAAATATACCTTACTGACTTCACACACACGTACACCTACTTTGTGGGAATAGTGGAAATTAGCTTACGGGATACACACGGATATGTAAAGAGGACTGAGCGTGAGATGTGTTTGTAAGAGTGAGAGAGATAGAAAGACGTGAGGCACGGATTACGTGGGCTTCCATCACCTTCCTGCTCGACCGCGAGGAGAACATCGAATCAACCTCCCACACTCCCTCCCAATATCAGCCCGTTCTTGACAGCATCAAAGCAATGACTTTGCGTTCGTTGACGAACTTGTTCAACACGCAGCGCGCGCGGCCCTTGTTTTTCTCTCTCTCGTAACTCGGTCCTTTTCGGTCGTCCCATCAACGGGCATTCGACAGTTGAACTATATCGGTCTTTCTGGATCTTGGGTTCCAAGTTGTAAACTACATTCTTGACGAATTGTGACAGAGACGCCTCGACCTTTCTCGTTCGTCTTCTGTCCTTGCTTTCCCGCGCCGTTTATGCCCTACCGGACTACCGTGCCCGTTGTTTCTCTCCGTGCTTCATCATCACTTTTGCCTGTTTTCTCCCGCTCTTCGCCCTTGACACAGCACAATGTCTGTTCCCTTTTTGAACATCTCCGTGCCACCTGAGATGCCTAGGTTTCCATGGATCGTTCGATGGATCTTCCTCCTCCTCCTCCTCCTCCTCCTCCTCCTCCTCCTCCTCCTCCTCCTCCTCCTCCTCCTCCTCCTCCGTGTCTCTATTCTCTCTGGACTTCCCTTCTTCCACCTCCGTGCTCCGTAAAGTCCGTTCGTATCGTCTCTATACACGCCCCCTCCCTGCGGGAATCAACCAACATTTCACATTTTCAGCTCGCAACTTCCGTGATCTTCACCTGTATAGTCTAGATACTTCTGCAAAAGGGAAGTAGGTATTTGCTCGGCCCTTCTGAGGCCTGGAAACCAGTGAGAACCAAGGGAGCCAGAGCCAATATCAAAAACGAAACGGGCGAACCAGACAGTCGAACCGAGTAAGCACCAAACTTACTTACCACTCACAGAGTCACGATATACGTTATCCATGGTTCTAGTCCAAAGATAGATCCAAACTCTCTTTTTCTTTGTTGTCTCCCCTCTCTCTCTGTCAGCCTGTCCTCTCTTTTCCCCCACCTGGGACTACCGGCCGATCAACAACACTCCATGTCAACCTGCGCCTTATCCCATCGTGCCATCTTACGAGATTCCAAAAGCTTAGCTATGAGGTAAAATGCTCTCATTTCAACCCTAGATCCCTTGCTCCCCATGTCCAACTCTCCTAAACAGGCAGTGATCTTTCCTTTCTCCCTCTTGGACCCCTTCCCTCTGTCACTCCCCACGTCCTGAATAACTCCGAGGGAAAATGAATCGCAAAAGTCACAAAAGTGAGGCTGGATTCACGAATTTCGCCTACCTAAACCCCACGCTTGACCGTACTTCAGGCCCTGCCTTGCCAAGACCGAAGATTCGCAGGGACGGTTTTTTTACGTTAACCGTACAGCGTACATAGTTCCCCCACGCGGGTTCGACTGCGGGCGACGGCGGGCGAGAACGCGGGTCGACGGGGCACGAGCGCCGAAAGGGGGGAGGGACCCCCCATCGGAGTGGGTTCCCGCCCCGGATAGCATCACGGGGTGGTTGATCACTGATGATGGTGAGAAGACAGGCGGTCAGGGTAAGTAAGTTACAGAAAGGAGTAGGTATTTTCGTCGATGAATCGGGTAAAGATGGTGACCAAATTAATTTACTAGGATTATGACGAAATACTCCGAATAATTCATCCGGATATGCCGTAATCCTTACCCACGCCCATCACGGGAAAAATAAGGAAATACCTAATGGGAAAGAGAAGAAAAAGTATATTTGTACCCTTCAACCTGGATGGTCCTTTGGCAGGGTCTTGCCGGCGGCAGAAGATCGTGAGACGACACCAAGTGGTTCCCCCTCTAGCCTCTCTTTTCCCCTATTTTGCACCTGTGCGTAAGGTAGGTACCGTGTAGGAGCGCGCGCGCTCTCGCGCGGAATCTGATGGCCACGACTAATACGACGCCCCCCCTCCTTCTTCTATTTTGCCTATTTTGCACCATGTTCCCCTATCGGAAAGCCACAATGGCGAAGCTACGGAAAGACAGCGTGACCAAAGACGCTCAGACGGTGGAGATTTGGTGAAGGACAGCTCCGTGGTCCTCCGTAGGCACGGAGCGGGCGGGCTGAGGGACTACCTCAGAAAGGGAAAGGAGGAAAACGTGGGAAAACGTGGATGCATATCGGCCGACCGCAACGTCTAGTGTAGCTCGACCGAACGGAGATGGATGGATGGGGAGGGGCGACGAGCGATGGAGATGAAAGATGGAGATAATCGACAACTAGAACAAAAATAGGGGCTCCCTCGGGGGAGTTGCAGCTAACGGCGATGTTGCCATCAAAGGCAAAGGTCCCAGGATAGGCAAAAAAAAAAAAAAAAAGTTTCCTAACTAAGAGAAGAAAATTGGCCTTCTTGAATCGCGAACGTGACCCTCTTCGAACGTCACTGGAGTTCGCGCGACGTTGCAAATCTCCTCAACTTCTGCCCAGCTCCGCATGCCGGAAGAACCGGCGGAGCGGCGATTGTCGTTGCACGACTCGAGTTTGTCGCCTCCCTCATCCGAATGCTATTGTGCGAAAGCTGACTCCGCAAAACCCGCAAGGCGCAGTACCTAATTACTCACAACTCAAATCTTGTTAGTCGTCTTTTTTTTTTCCTTTTCTTCCTGGTGTTCTGGGCCCACGCCGTTCCTCTCTCTCTCACTCTCCAAACATCCGATGTGTGAGCGTCAAGGTCTGCTGCGACTGCTCCCTTCTCTAACCTACGGTACGGTACGGAGAGGCTGGACTTGCATACTCAACCAAGTCATGACCCCGGTTTACAGCTGGTCATGGATGATCCTAATCATGCTGCCTTCATTGTTTTGTTGCTTATACAGAAAAAAGATGAGAGCTGAGGAAAAACAACAACGACAACCGGCAACACGAGGCAGGATGGTTTCACCAGCCGTCATTGTCTATGCTTGTTCATCCAGCTATTACAGATACGCCCTCTTCGTGCCTTGATCTTCGATGGTTAGCGTCGGTCGGTATGCTGGATGGTGATGGGTACGTATCGCCAATTGGTTGCTTTTCTTCTCCATTTTTAAACCTTTTTTTCTCTCTCTGTAGTCTGTACCCCTTGCTCTTCTCCTTGCTTATTCCCTTAGTGTCGATTAGGCAGGTTTCGCTAGGCCTGTTGGGAATCATTCGGATACGTCCTATAATGTCTCCCGAGTAGTGCGCAAGGCTAGACGCCAAAGGGGGCCACCTTCGGGTTTGCGTGAGGGGACACTACCGTAGAAACTCGAGCAACTCGAACTTGCGCTAGCCCGTGCCAGCCCTGCTAGCGCTCTAGCAGAATCGTAATACTGCCTAAAGTGGTTAAATGCGGCCGCCACCTATTTTTAGCGTAGGTTAATATTTTGATCGATCTGATTAATGAGAGCTTGCCGTTAAGGCCGGACCTATAATTAATATAATTCAATAATTATTTTGGTTTTCTCGTTAGTTTTGAGCTTTTTTTGTCGAATTAGTAAAAAGGGTAAAAGTATTAATTAGAAGTAGTTATATGTAAGTAACCGAGCCCTTAATTGTCCCCTGGCCTACTGCCTCTAACGGGCCCTTATTTATATAGCGGTTAGACTGTTGGGTTAATAAACTACTTATTAATGCTATTACGGATTTCTTTTATTATAAAAATGTATTTTAACCCGTCGTTTAGAATAGTAAAGTCTAGAATTTCTTTTTATAGCGTCTCCTACTTAATGTAGGCTTTTATATTAAAGAGCTCCTACTTAGTATAATCGATGGCCTTGGCGGGTACGTCTTTAATTTAGATCTTATCGACCTGGCTATTATCAGGCTGAATAGATATTCCGTATTATAGGAAGGCCTAGCTAATTATTAAGCCCTTCTTATAGGCTAATTTAGCGGCTACTATTTTAACTATTTTAGTGATTATTATTTTCTTTATACCCGTCTCTTATTTAAGCTCTTCTTATTTATTTAGTGCTTTTTCTTTTTTATTAAGTATGTAAGCGTTAATTATTTTTAAAAGCTACTATTTAAAGGGCTTATTAATTGTAGTATCGAAAGGTTAAAGAAGGGAAGTAGTCCTTAGCGGTATAAGGCAGGGTATAATATAGTATTAACGTAATAATGTAAGGATAGAATCTATTTTATAAAAGGAAGCGATATCTATTATTAATAAGTACTTATCTCCTTTAATTAGTATTACTAATTCCTTTTTAATCTATCTTTTAAATAAGTACTCATTATTGTAGGTAGTCTTATTAAACTTAATTATTATTCCTTCTATGTATAATAGGCCCTTTTTTTTCTATAATTAACCCCCTTCCTTTACGGGCTTACTGTGGAATATTATTTTCGGTTTAATTTGTTATATACCGTTGGCGAAGATATAGAGTATTAATATGGCCTACTGCTTACCCTAACCGTTACGGTCGCTCTTACTAGCTACGGTTTTAGCCCCGATGTTGTCGTATATGTAACTATCTAGGTATTTAAAAGGAACTAGGGTCTTATTAAGGTTAAGAATTTGCGAGTTAAGAAATCGACGGGCTGGATTTTTAAATAAATCTCCGATATTAGACCGCTTTACTTTAGCTAGGGCTATTTAATTAACTTATTGGATAAAAGAAAGAAAGCTATTAATAATTTTAAAGTACTTAGTAGGTAACTTCGTTGCTTGTTTAGTAAGTCGATATTAGGTAATTCTTATATAATTCTAGAAGCTACAAAACTAACCGGGGGAAAAAATACAAAGATATTTATTATTCGGGTTCTATTAGGCGAAAATCCGCTTAGCGGTCCTTTTGAATTAATTGGTATTAACGAACTTTCCTTTACTTCGTTGTTAGCGGAAGGTGCTATATAGCGCTGTCTCGAGCTCTGGCTATTAAGGGTAGTAGGTGTAGTTAGAGGACTGATTAATGATTGATTTGCGGTTCTAATATTAGGAGATAACTATATTTTAAGGGACTTTGAACTAATTTATAGCTTCCTAGTATATAGGACGTCTATATATCCCTAGGAGCTCGGTCTTGCCTTAGTACAGCCTTGGGGGGTAAATCGACTTTTTATCGAGCTTCCTTATACGGTAATGCTCTAAAAATATCAGGACGTTAACTTTAATATTATAAATATAGTAATGCTAGCGGCGCTTAATTAGGCTATTTTATAGTATATATTTCCGGTTTTTAATGGGGGTAGGAGTAGGCCCGTGGCGCTTAGCTATTAGAGGTATAATTAGTACTTTTACTATATTTAAATCCTTCTTAATAAGGGCCCGTTATAAGGGTATTGTAGGCACGTTAACAAGGCCCGTAGTAGAGGTATAATTAGAGGTATAATTAATAGTATAATTAGTGGTTAAATCGGTGATGTAATTGGTGGAAGTGGGTAGTTGGGTAGGAGTAAAAAATGGAAAATAATCACTTACTACCTTCCGTATACGGTTTAGTCGATTATATAATCGGATAAAACTGATCCCTCGAAAGGGCTTAGTGTGGGCCGCTAGCAGGGCTGGCACGGGCTAGCGCAAGTTCGAGTTGCTCGAGTTTCTACGGTAGAGCTCGCGTTAGCTCGTCCGACTAATGCCGCTGCACGAATTCGTCCGGTAGGTGCAGACCGCTCGGTCATGGTTCGTTTGGCAAAACCGCAACTTGGCTCCGTCGAAGCAAGTCGAGGCAGCGAGCACCGGTGCCGATCTCCGGTGATAGGGATGAATTTGATAATGGGGGTGAGTCTTTGGCTTCCCCCCGTGAGCCAAAATGTCGATACTAGCACTAGGGCTGGGCAAAAAAAATGTAAGTACGTAGTATGCTGACAGGAGCCGGACCGACATAGGGCCAAGCTTTTCCCCAACCATTGCTGCAGGCTTTCACATAGCTCTGCCCATCATCTGCGTTGATCACCCTGAAGACGAGGTATCTCTCTGCCGGCTTCGACGAAATTGCCCCCTTCTGCAACGCTCGAGGACCCTGGACCCCCACAGCAACCTTTGGAAACCTGAAATAGGCTTAACCGACCGATACTGATCAGTGATGAGGATATCGTATCTGCCGGAAGCGTGTCTCTCTCTCCCTTCTGCTCCGTGACATAAAACGCCCGTGCGAGCTAGGTTTTGGGAGAGGCGCAGTTTGGCACAAGAGAGTGCCAGGAACGCTCGCAAGCCATGCGGGGGGAGGGCAACGATCTAGCCAGCCAGGCGTGTTCGGCCTCATGTTCGTCTTGTCATTCCCCCTCTTTTCGTTTCTCTACGAAACCGGATGGCTCGGACACGACGCTGGTAAACTGATGACGGGCAATCCCTCTCTCTCTTTCTCCATCACTGACACCGTTCATTAGATTCGTCCCATCGCTTGCAGTTGCTGGCCGTCGAGTAGAGAGGGAGAAGGGCCACAGGTCAACAACCCAACCCATAGCCACACTCAGCTGCTGGGCGTAGATGGAGCACACCCGGCTTACCATCGCAGCACGTCTGTTCGCCGGAAGACTGTGCGTCGCAGGGAGTGTGTTAGACACTACCCTTCGTCCGTGGGTACTGCGTGTCTCAGCTCAAAGTCCTTCATATGGTTTTCCAAAAGCCATGGCCGTTTTCCTTAGGGCTGCCGAAAGACTTCGTTGGAGACGCTTCAACGACTTTGGGCTAGAAGGCAAAATGAAATAAAATAAGATAAGATAAAAAATGCTTTGGCTAAGTACCCCGAGGTCGAGATGGTGGACGTTGAGAATCTGACGAGCATTTTGTTGCAGATCTCATCCATGTCTCGCCCACAACCGGCCAAAATAAGCTCCGAAGAAAAGGTCGTCACAGTTAGCGTTTATGCCGCAAGCTCAATCCATGCAACGCCCGAGTCTAACCAAGAAATCTTCCGAACCCTCTCGCTGTAGAGTATTGGATATTCATGCGGGAAGCGAAACTCACAGCCTCTTTTGCCTCCTCTCGCAACCTTTGTCAGTAATGTTGGAATGACTTTTTTCGGGGAGTTGGTCTAGGATTGGCAGTTCGGGAACAATGCCTCCTGGCGTGGCTTTTTAGATCGATTGTCCAACGCAATTTCCACACCCTTACGCTGCCAACTCTTCTTCACCGGTGCCTGAAACCGGTGCGAAGATGTTTGTCTTAGCTAGAACCCGGTGAAGCAGCTGTCAGTTTTGCATAGCATTGGTAGCAATAGTTCGCTCCAAGGTTAGCTTTGCCAATTATCGTGATTAGCTCAATCCCCCAAAAATAAAAATCTAGTCGAAACGGAAGTAAGGAGATTCCCATCCCCCTCTAGCGGTGTATAACGATTGTCGTTGGCTGCTTACTGACTGTGAACACTAACTCCTTCGTGGCATTACTGCGGCGCTGTTAGGTTACCATCTTCGAGTCATTTGGCGGCAGTCAGTAGCATTAGTGAAATCCCTGTCGGCTTAAGACCCGTTGTGCAATTTCCATCATCAAGGGGAAGCTATACGCAGGGCGCTTCTGGCGACAGACTGTCTCGGTATTCAGAGTTGACCTGGGTAGCTGTCTGTTTTGAGCCTCGTGCATGTGCTAGATTGTTGAAAGCGTGTTTCGTTGACACCCCCTTGTCGACTTGCCAAGTAGTGTAGCACTGCAGACCAGGAGCTTCAGCAAACATCCCAGGTCGTCCAAGGGGGATCCTGCGGAGCCAAAATAGCAACTTCTGGATGGCAACACCTACTATGTAGGTTTTTGTTGTTGTCATGCATATCCGAAGATAATCGACCAGGTGTGAACATCAACCATGGGTCTCGTGACATTGCTTCAAAATTCACATCCGGAGACTAACCACTGCATGGTCTCAGAAACGCCGCATCTTGCAAGACCCGCACCGCACCCCGGCCTCCCGGGGTAGTTAGAAGGCTGTCCTTCACCGACTGTGAAGAGCTTGTGATAATTCCGCAGTGGATTCGTGGGCTATCCGTCAATGTCTCAGAGTTTGGAGATCGGCTCCTTTGTCGAACTGATGCTAGCACAGCTGGCTAGACTTATTGGAGTATCTTTCCGTAGAACTTGTTGTCAGCATCTGTACGGAGTACGTAGTACTTCGTAGGTTTGGAGGAGGGGGGGTGGGGAAGAAGGGAGGCAAGGAGGGTGGGAGGCTTGCCCTGGCCACCCACCGTCCTGATGTTACTTTGAAGGTGAAGGAGGGCACACCCCACAAGATCCCACGTGTCCGGAAGGCTTCCCGGTGTCAAGGGCTCAGTGTCTAACGCAGTCGAATGGTATGGTGTGTTGCTTCGGTTGGTCAAGATGTGGTGTCAGGCAGCCTGCCATAATGCAACTTTGCGCAGCCGCGGGCGGCTTTCATGTGAGGGCGAACTCTGAGTGCCGAGGCAT